TGCCCTGTGTCTCCGATATACACCGAAGGAATCCCAAATACACAGAGGAAATCCCAAATACACCGAGGGAATCCCAAATACACAGAGGCAATCCCAAATACACAGAGGGAATCCCACATACACAGAGGCAATCCCAAATACAAAGAGGCAATCCCAAATACACAGAGGCAATCCCAAAACACAGAGGGAATCCCAAATACACAGAAGCAATCCCAAATACACCGAGGGAATCCCAAATACACAGAGGGAATCCCAAATACACAGAGGGAATACATCCCAAATACACCGAGGGAATCCCAAATACACAGAGGCAATCCCAAATACACAGAGGCAATCCCAAATACACAGAGGGAATACATCCCAAATACACCGAGGGAATCCCAAAAACACAGATGCAATCCTAAATACACCGAGGCAATCCCAAATACACAGAGGCAGTCCCAAATACACGGAGGGAATCCCAAATACACAGAGGCAATCCCAAATACACGGAGGGAATCCCAAATACACAGAGGGAATCCCAAAACACAGAGGGAATACATCTCAAATACACCGAGGGAATCCCAAATACACCGAGGGAATCCCAAATACACAGAGGCAATCCCAAATACACGGAGGGAATCCCAAATACACAGAGGGAATCCCAAATACACCGAGGGAATCCCAAATACACAACAATATAGATATTAGCTTCATGAAAGATCTCCAATTAATGTTTAGATGATATAAACAGTTTAATGCTTGCAATCACCTGACCTAAATATGCACTTGGATTATTTGGTACAATCTGACGTGTTATTGTATAAATATACATCGGATAGATAATTTATTTATTAACTCCATGAATTGTGTATGTAGTTAATGTTTAATATAGGTATAGTGTTTCTTAATTGTCAGTTTTGTTACATTTTCTCTTTAATCTACATGTAAATGATAATTAAGATAGATACATTATGAATATTAATCACTAGCAATTTATCACTTGCTAAGAAAAGCTGAGTGACACAAATATCACAAATTTACTAACGGGGTATTAGACAACATAACAACGAAATATTACATTTCTTATCCTCATCAACGTCACAAATATCCTTAAAGAGAGCAATATATTATTGAAAAACACTTAAAAATCAATCCGAAAAACAGCCATATACATAATCACATTGTCACGTAAGCATGTATATTTTGTATACACTTGGGGTAAGTCACCTTAATGGTAGGGTACCGCTAGGCGGAATTGCGTCACGGGTAGGTGTGCACGGGGTGAGATTCTCATGACAGGTATTGTGTTATTGTTACCGTGCACCCGATATGGATTTATCGGCATTTAGCGTCATGTGAGACAGGCACAGGGGACTCACTGTGGTAAGTAATCTTTATCTCTTTTTCTTTTCTATATTAGTTGGTATTGTTGTTTTGTACCAGTCCATATATCGGGTCAAACAATCTAAGTATCTGTGCGCTCCAGTCAGCCGTGACCATTGTTTATTGTTTGTATGTTGATAACTTTCATTTTTGTTTTCGTACTATAATTGAATATATTATGTTTGTTTTCCTAAATATGCACATGATATAAACATATTGGAGTGTTGTACATGAAACTGCATAGTCTATGTCATGTTTCGGGTCGATTTTAAAATCTATGGAAGCCCTGATCAATTTATTAGTGCCGAACGTAGTGCGTACGCGAACGAGTGGAAAAAGTATGGAAGCCTTGAGGTGTCAGTTGGTGTATTTCGTAATTTTGTTTTATTTTGTTTGTAATTTGGAGCCGCACATTATTTCGACGCTAATATGAACGTATTTCAGTATTTTCTAATTATGGTTCATTCTAAAGTTGAATAATTATGGTAAATAATAAGTATTTTGTACCATGTGTTTTGTTAGTATAGTATGGAAGTGTGAGTGGAAATTATAACTATTTGTGTTAATCATTATAGCTTCACATGACGGGTTGGAACATTGATTGAGTCAGGACCAGGCAGGCCTCTCTTTTACATTGCGACCCAAGCGTCAGGACCGACCAGAAGTAACGACTTTCATTCAGGGTCAAGGTCAGCGAGGGAGCATACTTAGAAGTTACACTGCCAGGGTCGGCGACTTGAATTCAGCACTTAATCAGCTGTCATGTCATTGACATAAGTGCGTTGCCTATTATGGTGATACAAGCGTGGAACTGCTTGAGGACGGTGACTCTGGATTGAGTCACGGTGATTCAGAGTATGGAACTCTATTGGGTTTGACAGGAACACTGTTCTGTTTCGTGAGCTAGAAGCTACAGGGACACTTATCATTATTTGGTTTATGAGTGTGTGAGTTAGCGAGTGTGACATCTTTAAATATATAGTTTATTTGTTTCATTGTAAATAAACATCATTGTTATACTGTGATCGGTTCTTCCAGCTTTCTTTTCCCGGATCACCAACCGTCGCTCGTCCCACGTTAACACACATCAACACAAACATATACAAAAACATGTTAAATGTCACATTGTAAACACAGGTCAATAGTCACATTATTTACAAAAGTCAATAGTCACGTTGTTAACACAAGTCAATAGTCACATTGTAAATACAGGTCAATAGTCACATTATTTACAAAAGTGAATAGTCGCATTGTAAACACATGTCAATAGTCACATTGTAAATACAGGTCAATAGTCACATTGTAAACACAAGTCAATAGTCACATTGTAAATACATGTCAATAGTCATATTGTAAATACATGTCAATAGTCACATTGTATATACAGGTCAAAAGTCACATTGTAAATACAAGACAATAGTCACATTGTAAACACAAGTCAATAATGACATTATTTACAAAAGTCAATAGTCACATTGTAAACACAAGTCAATAGTCACATTGTAAATACATGTTACATTGTAAACACAAGTGAATAGTCACATTGTAAAAACAAGTCAATAGTCACATTGTTAACACAAGTCAATAGTCACATTGTTAACACAAGTCAATAGTCACATTGTAAATACAGGTCAATAGTCACATTATTTACAAAAGTCAATAGTCACATTGTAAACACATGTCAATAGTCACATTGTAAATACAGGTCAATAGTCACATTGTAAATACAAGTCAATAGTCACATTGTAAATACAAGTCAATAGTCACATTGTAAATACAGGTCAATAGTCACATTGTAAATACATGTCAATAGTCACATTGTAAACACAAGTCAATAGTCACATTGTAAATACAGGTCAATAGTCACATTGTAAAAACAAGTTAAAAGTCACATTGTAAATACAGGTAAATCTTTACATTGGGTAAATCGTTACATTGTTAACACAAGTGAATAGTCACATTGTAAACACAAGTGAATAGTCACATTGTAAATACAGGTCAATAGTCACATTGTAAACACAGGTCAATAGTCACATTATTTACAAAAGTCAATAGTCACATTGTAAACACAAGTCAATAATAACATTATTTACAAAAGTCAATAGTCACATTGTAAACACATGTCAATAGTCACATTGTAAAATAGTCACATTGTAAATACAAGTCAATAGTCACATTGTAAACACAAGTCAATAGTCACATTGTAAATACAGGTCAATAGTCACATTGTAAATACATGTCAATAGTCACATTGTAAACACAAGTCAATAGTCACATTGTAAATACAGGTCAATAGTCACATTGTAAAAACAAGTTAAAAGTCACATTGTAAATACAGGTAAATCTTTACATTGGGTAAATCGTTACATTGTTAACACAAGTGAATAGTCACATTGTAAACACAAGTGAATAGTCACATTGTAAACACAAGTGAATAGTCACATTGTAAACACAAGTGAATAGTCACACTGTAAACACAAGTCAATAGTCACATTGTAAACACAAGTCAATAGTCACATTGTAAATACAGGTAAATCGTTACATTGTTAAAACAGATCAATAGTCACATTGTAAATACAAGTAAATCGTTACATTGTAAACACAAGTCAATAGTCACATTGTAAACACAAGTCAATAGTCACATTGTAAACACAAGTCAATAGTCACATTGTAAACACAAGTCAATAATGACATTATTTACAAAAGTCAATAGTAACATTGTAAATACAGGTAAATCGTTACATTGTAAACACAAGTGAATAGTCACATTGTAAAAACAAGTCAATAGTCACATTGTAAACATATCAATAGTCACATTGTAAACATATGTCAATAGTCACATTGTAAACACAAGTCAATAGTCACATTGTAAACACAAGTCAATAGTCACATTGTAAACACAAGTCAATAGTTACATTGTAAATACAGGTCAATAGTCACGTTGTTAACACAAGTCAATAGTCACATTGTAAATACAGATCAATAGTCACATTGTAAACACAAGTCAATAGTCACATTGTAAATACAGGTCAATAGTCACATTGTAAACACAAGTCAATAGTCACATTGTAAATACATGTCAATAGTCACATTGTAAACACAAGTCAATAGTCACATTGTAAACACAAGTCAATAGTCACATTGTTAACACAAGTCAATAGTCACATTGTAAATACAGATCAATAGTCACATTGTAAATACAGGTCAATAGTCACATTGTAAACACAAGTCAATAGTCACATTGTAAACACAAGTCAATAGTCACATTGTAAATACAGGTCAATAGTCACATTGTAAACACAAGGCAATAATCACATTGTTAACACAAGGCAATAGTTACATTGTGAATACAGGTCAATAGTCACATTGTAAACACAAGTCAATAGTCACATTGTTAACACAAGGCAATAGTCACATTGTAAATACAGGTCAATAGTCACATTGTAAACACAAGGCAATAATCACATTGTAAACACAAGTCAATAGTCACATTGTAAACACAAGTCAATAGTCACATTGTTAACACAAGGCAATAGTTACATTGTAAATACAGATCAATAGTCACATTGTAAACACATGTCAATATCCAAGTTGTAAACATCATTCTATCATGGTATAATTTGTGTTTATATTATTCATGATTTCTTCGTTCCAAACAACAAAATAAAAAGATTATTGAAAAAATCGCTCAACAGTTGCGTCAAGCGATCCACAAAACCATCATCTTTATCACCAGGCTTGACATCATCAGCGATCAGCTGTCGGGTAGAATTGCGTTCCGGCGTCTCGTCTACCTCAGTGATTCTGACTTCAGATGCTGATGACATATGACACTGTGCAGATGACGAAGGAAGGTCCTTTGTACTCCCTGTGACAGAGTCCTCGGGTTTGCTTTCTTTCTCCCTTATCCCCTTCTCTATGATTCGGAGGGCTTCGTTTTGAAAAAACGTTTTGTTCCAAGAAAGGATAATATTTTCAATGGCCGCAAACAAGTTTTGCCTTTCTGCATCTAGGTTGCTGGCCCTATTGTTTACAAAAACATGTCCATTGCCACTTTTGGCTAAAAGATTCCTTAGATTTGAATCCAAATTATCCAAAAATATTTTTTCTGTGATAAAGTTGCTTTTGAATATATCTTTTTTTGTGAAAACCAGAAGAATACGATTTATTATCGCTTTCCCGAACATATCAATATAGCAATCAATCGTTTTCTGACACTCGTCTGTATAGCGAACGTCCGATGGAATCACCACCAGGACGGCATGTGGACCAGGAGATGCTAAAGCCATGCATTTGGTTATCTCCCTTTTGAGCTCTTCTTTTGGCATTTTTGTGTCAAACAGACCAGGTGTGTCGATAACGGTTATTTTACTTCCTTGGTACTTACAACTTGCATATGCACATCGTTTGGTAGCAGACTTCATTCCACAATACTCATCGAAAATATTATTTCCGAGGAGCGTGTTTCCTGTGCTGCTTTTTCCTGATCCAGTCCTTCCTACTAAGATTAATCTTCTTTCTGATACATACCGTCTACTGTCACCATCTGAAAAAAATGGTTAACTAAATTATCTCCCTTAGTTCAAATTCTTTCCGTTCATTCCAGACAGAACCAATGCAATGTGGTAGATTGGTAGAGACAGGGATATCCCAACCCCCGTGTTAGAGTGTCTAGTCAGTACAGGACTTTCCGAGTGCTTGTTAATGAAACATGGGTGTTGGGATACTCCTGTCCACGGAACAGACACAATCAAATAAAATCAGGACATATTATATGTGGCTGTCAGGTGTTAGCAATTCCCCCCTTACTCCGTGTAAGATTAAGAGAATAGTTCACTGATTGGAGATGAGATGGGGTGATCTCAGCACAACGTTGTCAGGAACTGAAAACAGCGCAACAGAATGGCTGTCTCTGTTTGATTTTTTTCTTTCACATTTCCACCTTAAAACGTATCAAGCCCGCAAAAAATGATAACTTCATAGTGTCGTTTCATAGATTGCTTTACTTAAATCCATTTAAGATTGATATATAATGTATATATATAAGTTGGATATTATTTCAACGATAACAGCAAAGCCAGGTGAAAGATATATAGCACATTTAATATATGATATATGGATTTCTTTATACAATGTAATATGTATGCTATATATAGCACAATAAATATCGTGTATTTATTACTAATTGTCTGATAACAAAATTATAAAATTATAAATCGATATATGGATAAATGTTAAATTAAAAAGCTGTACACTCACCATGCCTGGCAGCCATTGGTCCCAATGAGCAAGCGGCTATATCCCTGCTTAATGTGTCACCTCTGATGACGGTATCTGGTGATATAAGGGATAGACCAAGATTGGTGAGGGGAAAATATGAGATAATAATAACTAAATGAAGACGCAAGGGTCACCTGACTGCAAAGACATACAGCAAGGAGGTACTACTATCACTTTGACATTCACTCAGTGTTTAGAAAAAAAATCCACAAAAAATCGTTTTCCAAAATGACAGCTTTGAATAATAGTAGATCAACAGCCGTAATCTAGTGATCACTCGTCAATTTGAATTTTATTTGGAAATATATAAATCAGATTGTCTGATTACTTCCTATTTTAATTTCTACTCAAGTTTGACTCGTGGAACTAGAAAATTTAGCCTGTTTCTCTTGTTCATGAATTTGACCAGATAAATATTAAACTTGAAATACGAATACATTATTTATCTTTATCAATTTATATTCTTTATTTTTGGAGCAGATTTGAATACTTTTAAAGTTTTGCATCAAATCTTTGTAAAGGTTCTTAAGAAATGCTTGCCCTCCCCTAGCGACATTTCAGACCAACTTTGTTGAAATCCAGCGTTGCTGGGGAGTATACCTTTACAGTACATATTTAGCTAATGGACCCTTTTAGGGCCAGTAACGGCCCCTCCCGTCCTCAGGGGTCGAATCATCATCCTAATTGTAAAAAATGATCTCCTTCCGATTAATTCTGTCAACGTTTATGGGGAGAAGATTTCAAAACCTGCTTTCCGAATTTCTCCTAATTGACCCCGCTCCTTGTCGAGTTGGTTTCGCGCTTTCTTTTGTTATATAACTATGTATTATGTTATCTTATAACATATAATTACTATCTCCCATTGATTCTTCTAACTAAACTTTGGTTGGAATCTGTCCGAGCATATAACAAGAGAAGAATGTCAGAGCCTAATTGTTAAATATCCTCATATGGACCTCACCCCCTTGCAATACATTCAGATCTTAATTTTCGTTTGTATGTTTTGACAATATATCTATTTTTGCTTTACGTTTATCCTTAATCGTACTCTACACAATCAGGTTGAATTCTTTGTTCCCCAGCCCCAGACATTTTCTTTGGAGCTATATGTATATATTTTTTATCTTTAACGAATTATCTAATTGTAGTGATTTCTGTTCAGACATGTAGTGACAAAAATACTTACTAAAATTGCCCATCGCTGACTTTGACCTTGGCACTGGAAGCCGTGCAGAAGGTCGTTCTAGAAAGTCAAATGAAATATATCTTTGAACATAGATAGAAGTCAAGTACAAACTAAATTTACGATAACAACACATAATTTATGATAATTCTGAGGCGGACCAATTTTCCGCAAAACAATAGATGTCCGCATAATTTTAGACCTTATGTTCGGTCTCATTCGTAATTACTCAGCTGAATCCGTACCACCTCGGAGCATACGGAATCAGACGAACTGCTTAGACTGGTACACATCGTGATCTCTTTAGAATAACATCAGACTTTTGAAAGGAAATGATCGACATCGAGTGAAAATGACATCATTTTTGGATATATTAAGACTTTATACATGTATAAATCTTAACTCTTATATTCCCCCTTTGTCTAAATAAAACAAACTTTAACAGATGACTCAAAGACGTGCTGGAATGCTCGCTACTCATTTCTCGAACATGATTTATGCATGTAACAATAATTCAATAATACATCTTACCCTGTTAATACAAACATGCAGAATTAGACTCAACGAGTGTTAGAATAATTATTTCAACAATATTCGGATTGCGTGACGGACTATGCACCCACACCAATTTAACCAAAACATTTGTTTTAAGTAAACACTGTACAGACCGAAAAGGCCTTTTCCCATTTTGCACGTGCACGCATCACGTGTCCACCGACGATACTCGGAAAATCTGAAAGCTCATTGCGTTTCTTTTCGGTTTTTTTTTTCTATCTTTTTGTTTTTTTCTATCTTTTCGTTTTTTTCTATCTTTTTGTTTTTTCACGTATAAATCCCTGCTAGTTTGTGCATCTTGATGTTTAAAATGTACCAAGAATCATCAAAGTGCAACATTGTGTAACTGACTGAAAATATACATATACCTACAAACCATTGGTATATAGCCAATCACTTAGGTACGATGTAAATTGTCAAGTGTCCACTGGGACCTGGTATCTATGGGAAAGAGACAAAATACCCCCCTCCCACACACACACACACACACACACACCCACCCCGACCCCTTGTAGATACCAAGTTTACTTCAGCCGGGATCTGGTAGCTGTCACACGGAACAACATACAGGACGCCCATCGCAAAGAGACAACAGGCAGATGCAAATTAATAAACAGACATGAGTACCGATAGCTCTTTACAAAAAAAATCATCTAGTACTTACAAACCTTAAGTTACATAAATTATGTACAAGTTTTTGAATGATAATCTTTTGTTGTGTGTTGTATAAGTATCAATAACCATGCCTTGCCATACATTGTCTCGTGGCGTCCTCTACGAGATAAATGGCGAGTTCAGTATGAATTAACGACAATCAATATGTTAAATTCTAGATAATTCCAAACATTTTTATTGAGGTAATCTGTAACATCTTATAATGATTTACAACGAAAACGAAACAGATTTGACTTATCTCGATTGTTTACATATCCTGACAGAATGTATAGGTAAGCATAGACTAGTGGTATAGGTACGGCAAGGTCTGAATTCTTGCCAAATCGTTCACAAATAAATAGATTATACAATAATAATAACAGTTATGACATATTTACGTACGATATGTACATGATCTATATAACTTATATCACTATTGCGTGATCGTATAATTTGACATGAATTCTAATGTTTTAGAAGTCATTAAGAAAAAACGTACCTGCCATACTGATGATTTCTTACGAAAATGTTTAAAGCTGGGTCTTGTTGCACAACATAAAGTTTTGTATATATCTGTCTGATCTGCCTGTACACTCTGAATACACATTTGTCTGAATACGCGGTACGACGGGTTTTATTGTAAATCAATATATATCTTGTACCTTACATATATGTGTATATACTCAACCCTGCATAGGGAAATCAAATACCGATTTCATAAAATATTTTTTCTTTCGGGACTTTTTTCATTTTTGATAAAAAAAAATGCAATATTTATTTCTTTGTTTTTGTTTCCAAGAATATCGATTTATTAAATCTACTGATCTAATTGTATCCCACATTCGTTGTTAATGTTTTGTTTATTTAAAGCTAACTATACTTGGTTGATTTATTTCGTTATAATTATCGTCTAACCTAATCTTACTTTACATATATATATATGTACAACTTCCTTATCAGTGTGTTAATGCTAGGACCTAAACATTCTATTGGAAGATTTTTCTTCTAATTATTCTATTAATACTTGCCAAATACTTAACAATATATATACCATTGACAGCCTAAAATAACCCAGTAAAGATAAATACTTCCTGGTTGGGTATGGCGCCCTCAACGTATTTATTGTTGCGATATTGCAATACTGAAAGGTGTTTGAATAATCAAACCATGTACATATTTATTTGTTTAATAAGAATATTCAGACGGTTTCATGTTTAATAGTATTTGATATCAATATTCAGTATAAAAACAAAAAATCCTCTTTGTTGTTTATACCGAATATTGATCTTAATCTTGTCAGGTTTTAAACAGACCCATGTAGGTCACCCTGGTTATCGAAATATCAGGTCCTTATATCAGTACATGTAAATTTATCATTTACTTTATCACTGTCAAAAAATTTCAATCTATTTTACTGCTCCTCGACAAAATTAAATTTAAGTTAGATGACTGAAAGTTTACATTGAAAAGTGGAAGGGCCGGTTTGTCATCATTTGAAAAGGGCAAGTCTCTTACAATGTACAAGTATCCTTCCTGTCTTTTTTCGCTGATTGTAAGAAAACATGGTGTCCATTCTTCAGTCCATTCATCAGAATAAGAATATTTCTCCTGTCTTGGCTAGTTCCAGTCTTAAGTGATTTTTCTCTTCATTTTCTTTATTTAAATATTTTAAATATTTCCCCTGTTAATGAATACTGAATGTGGACACCAGATATCTCGAACCATTAGATAATTGACAGGATCGTCGTACATGGTTATTGAAAGATGTTTTATTCATAAAAAATCCGATACACATTCATTTATACAAACTAGATTAAACAGGTAATAAAATTTGAAATGTTTAATCGAAACAAACCCAAAACAGACAGTCCTTCAATTTCTACTTTCGACTTCAACTTCCATATTCATATCACTATTCTGATTTATCAGAGTTACTTCCCTTCGCCTATCGCGGAATGGTTGGTCGATGGCTGCACAGGGGAAACAGGTACTCAACACCAACATGGTTTCATTGACATCTAGCAATAGTAACACATCATTTCATCCACACCATCAGCAATCTCGTCATCCCAATCGTCATCATTTCCCTGTCGACTTACGAATACTAAAGATGATTAGTTCCTGCAGGGACGCATAATACAGAGGGATAGGCAGCTGCTGTAATACGCTTAGAAATTATAACTGTATTATACGTCCCTGGTTCCTGCAAATAAAATTATACCTAGACTTTCTCTGCTCTCTAAAATATTTCTACGTCTTAAAGACAACCCATAACAAGCTATAATTATGCCATTTCGAGGAGATTACTTTAAATAAAAATAAGAAGAAAAGAAAATCGGAAAGACTTATTTGAGAAAATCTAGTAAAAAAATTGTAGTATTTATCAACAAAACTACGGATTTAGAAATATTTATTTCATAAACTGTACATGAAAATATAGTCACGTCACCTGTTAAAAAACTCTTAACCATGAAAAAACAATGTTCGTCAATTTGAACAAAAAGGATATAGAATTAATTATACTGTTCATATACTGGAGAATCCATTTAAATATTCCTTGTCTAAGACGCTGTCGCATTGGTTATATTGTTTTCAAATAAGTAAAATTTTTCAGACAATGTAAAAATATTTATTTATTTATTTATTTATTTCATTGCACATCAGAGGTCAATCCGGATAGTAAGTGATAGTGTGAGTTCCAAATTAGTGTAAAATATTTACTTCCGGTTTATCCACTGTGAAACATGTTGCGAAGTGCAGCTTACAGAAAACATCCACGAAAATTACAACGGGCGTCCGGACGTGATGGCGGGCCGCAAGGGCGAGTACAAAAACTCCAAGAAATGGTTACCAAGCTCATACGATATGAAAGAATTGAATCAACTCTACCAAAATGTGATGAAGCCAGAGGTTATACCGAACAGGTAACGTGCATGTGCCTTTCCCGGGACTTTGTATACATTGCCTTTATCAATCTTCTGTTTTAAGTAGAAAGCCAATAGACAATACATTTACACTTAACTATTCCTTGGTTATTAACGGCCTCGGCTATTGTCAACTGTTTGTTATATAATGTAATATATATCCGAAATGGATAGATCCACATGGATCAAACTCAAGGAGTTCGACGACCATCATGGACACAATGTTTTGCTGATTATATATTTTTTTTATCTAAACTTATTACAAAACTATACCTAAATGTAGTTATTAGCAACTGATGCATATTCACAATTATTTCGGTAATCAGTGTTAAGTATCTTGGTTGACAGTGTGTGCCAAAATGTGTTTGACTGCATGACATCGTCATCGTTAAGTTTTGATCAGACAAAAATGAAAATATAGCTTTCTCGTTGACTGCATGACATCGTCATCGTTAAGTTTTGATCAGACAAAAATGAAAATATAGCGTTCTGTTTAACTGCATTACATCGTCATCGTTAAGTTTTGATCAGACAAAAATGAAAATATAGCGTTCTGTTTGACTGCATTACATCATCATGGTTAAGTTTTGATCAGACAAAAATGAAAATATAGCATTCTGTTTGACTGCATGACATCATTATCATTAAGTTTTGATTAGACAAAAATGAAAATATAGCATTCTGTTTGACTGCATTACATCATCATGGTTAAGTTTTGATCAGACAAAAATGAAAATATAGCGTTCTGTTTGACTGCATGACATCATTATCATTAAGTTTTGATTAGACAAAAATGAAAATATAGCATTCTGTTTGACTGCATGACATCGTCATCATTAAGTTTTGATCAGACAAAAATGAAAATATAGTGTTCCAAGTCTTTAAAATGTTTTGCATACACTGGATCCACTGTTGATTAAGATATTTTTTAAAGTGATAGGACTACAAGATTATGTATTTTGAAGTTATCTTGATTAAATATTTTATTACCATGGTAACACACAAATGATGTCACAAAATTATATGAGGTCATGTTGATTATGAAATTTCAGTAAAGAAACCATACATAATTAGTCATACTTTAATCCATACATGTAATTATAGTAAATATTGATATTAATATGTTAAAAGAAACATTTTACAATTTGACAATATTGACCAATATTTCGAAAAATGTGCTACTAAATGTTTCTCTTTTGTAGCTTATCAACCTAGCCGTTGAGAAGGGTGATCAAGACAAACATGCCATGGAGATGGCTGACTACTGGCTCACGGTATACAAATTCTAAGGCTTGATTTTTATAATTTAGAAATTGCATGATGCACTACTCATTGTATTACTGTTAATGCAATAAGCACATGTCTGGTAATAAACCCACCAGTATTGATTGCAAATTTAGCAAATTATATTATGAACCAATGTTTTTTTTACTTGTCCTGTAATAAGCCCACTCTCAGACTTTTAGTCAAAGGTCAATCACAATAAGATAAGTCTGTAGTGTTAATAAGATTTTGAATGATACATTCTGTAAGAAAACATTTAGTCTAATTGAGAAGATGTCCATTGTGATTTTAACTTTATTTTGTGTTGATTTTCTTTTGTGAGATTTTATTTTTTCATATTGAGTGTAAATTTTTCTTTTTACATTTTTCTTGAGGATAGGAATACAGATAATGCATTTTTAATTGAGGTGCTCTTGAATAATTCATCACATATATTGTTGTTTTTGTTTGAGAAGATATGTATCAGTCCTTGATGTTTATATTTACATGGGAAAAGGCACATACATTCACACCATTGAAACCTCATACACTCAATGTTGCACACCACACACTTGCACTCACTTCTATTCTGGAAATGTCACCACACACATCAGGATCACCTTTGTTCACAACTCATTATATCATGACCATATTACGATCAGATAGCTTGCAAGATTCAAATAAAGGAAAGAGAGGGAAATAAATCGATCAACACTGGGTGATGTAGACAGAGAATTATCAGTTCTTAAGATCAGATTTATGAAGTTAAGTACTTAGCTATGCATTGTGTTAACGATGGATGATGATTGAATGTTATTCATGATCGAATCATTTTATTTTGTCTGATGATCAGTTGCAAATTTTCAAAATCAATCATCAACATTTTCTTGTGTCTTAGCAGAAATAAGATTCATATCATGCATACTAATGATGCTAATTTCCAATAAGATTCATTCTTATGTAAATTCTAGGTAAGTGAGATATTTCAGCTGAAAGTCACAAAAAAAGAAAATATGACAGGAAAAAAGAATATATTCTCTTACTATGAATATTGAACACACTGTCATATGATATATAATCTTTTGCCTACATCAGAAAGCCTTTGTAGTTTTAACTAATAGTTAGTTAAGGAATTCTAACCGATTTTTACCATTGTACTACTTCGTAGTCATACTCGAGGATAGAAATGTTGCTGTCTTTATCACACTTAGTTAAAACATTCTGTTGGTCCCAGATAATTTGTTTTGTTTCCTCTTGTCCTCTCTTCATTTTGACCAGCATTTGAACCTTTCTGTTGACAGGAGAAGGATTTGATACACAAGCTGTTTAAGGTGTTAGCCCCTCGGTACAGTCATATGAAAAACTTTAGATATACTCAGATGTACCGACTCCCAATCAAGTACCCAGGAACAGATAACACCAGCCCAGCTGTACTGGAGCTCAAAGGTAAGATTTCAGAAACACCAGCCCAGCTGTACTGGAACTCAAAGGTAAGATTTCAGATAACACCAGCCCAGCTGTACTGGAGCTCAAAGGTAAGATTTCATTTAACACCAGCCCAGCTGTACTGGAGCTCAAAGGTAAGATTTCAGATAACACTCAGCAGGCTGTATTGGAACTCAAAGGTAAGATTTCATGAACACCAACCAAGCTGTACTGGAGCTCAAAGGTAAGATTTCAGATAACACCAGCCCAGCTGTACTGGAGCTCAAAGGTAAGATTTCATTTAACACCAGCCCAGCTGTACTGGAGCTCAAAGGTAAGATTTCAGATAACACTCAGCAGGCTGTATTGGAACTCAAAGGTAAGATTTCATGAACACCAACCAAGCTGTACTGGAGCTCAAAGGTAAGATTTCAGATAACACCAGCCCAGCTGTACTGAAGCTCAAAGGTAAGATTTCATATAACACCAGCCCAGCTGTACTGGAGCTCAAAGGCAAGATTTCAGATACCACCAGCCCAGCTGTACTGGAGCTCAAAGGTAAGATTTCAGATAACACCAGCCCAGCTGTACTGGAGCTCAAAGGTAAGATTTCAGATAACACCAGCCAGGCTGTATTGGAATCAAAGGTAAGATTTCAGATAACACCAGCCAGGCTTTATTGGAACTCAAAAGTAAGATTTCAGATAACACTCAGCAGGCTGTACTGGAGCTCAAAGATAAGATTTCATATAACCCCAGTCAGATTACCTTTGGTCCAACATGGTAACTTTTAAACATTGTCAACTTCTTCTGCATCACCAGAACCAATTTCATTGAAATTTTGGAAAAACATTCCATTGTCAAATGTGAATCAGAATTGTAAATTAGGGTTGGACTAAAAAGAATTAAATTGATTGAAATTTCAAAAATCTTTTTCTCAATACTTAAGTATTGTAGAATCAAATACACTTCATGGATAGAAAGGTTTTAAAGTGCTTTACCTAAATTTGAAATTTCATGACCACAGAGTCTCACATTTCCCTCTGGGTAGAGGATAAAGTTTACTATAGTTTATATGGGAAATCACATTTTTAAGCATAATTTCTTCATTTTTAAACTTCGTTAGAATTGCTTCTATTTGATGACAATTTGATAATATGCACATACTGAACCTGGCTGACACCCAAGAGCTAACAGGCAGTGGAAAAAAGGGGTCAGATTGACTGAAAATTTGAAAAATCTTCTCAATAACCAAGTATGGTAGAATCAGATATTCTTCATGGATGGAAATGTCATCAGATACTTTAAGAAATTTCATGACTTCAGGGTCTCACATTTCCCTGTGCAGAAAGAGTAAAGTTTACTCAAATTCATATATGAAAATTACAGTTTGAAGCATAAGTTATTTTCTGTTGGAAACAGTAAAAACTTGATTTGAATCGACAGTATTAGATGACAGTTTGATTGTGTACACATGTTGATCCTTGCTGACCACAGGGGCTGATGGATGGGTCCAAAAGGAGTTGAATCATGTAAAATTTTATAGATCATCTGAATACCCAGATATGATAGAATCTATCCAATGCTAATAATGGATGGAAGAGTTATACAGGAACAATTACATCTCTGAGTGTCATTTCCTTTAATTCAAACATGATTAGAAGCCTTGGCATGGGACGACAGTTAATGTAAAACACCGTTTACAGTTGCGACACTTAATGTTAAACACGGTTTACAGTTGCGACAGTTAATGTAAAACACTGTTTACAGTTGCGACAGTTAATGTAAAATACGGTTTACAGTTGCGACAGTTAATGTAAAACACGGTTTACAGTTGCGACAGTTAATGTAAAACACGGTTTACAGTTGCGACAGTTAATGTAAAACACGGTTTACAGTTGCGACAGTTAATGTAAAACACGGTTTACAGTTGCGACAGTTAATGTAAAACACGGTTTACAGTTGCGACAGTTAATGTAAAACTCGGTTTACAGTTGCGACAGTTAATGTAAAACACGGTTTACAGTTGCGACAGTTAATGTAAAACACGGTTTACAGTTGCGACAGTTAATGTAAAACACGGTTTACAGTTGCGACAGTAAATGTAAAACAAGGTTTACAGTTGCGACAGTTAATGTAAAACATGGTTTACAGTTGCGACAGGTAATGTAAAACACGGTTTACAGTTGCGACAGTTAATGTAAAACACAGTTTACAGTTGCGACAGTTAATGTAAAACACAGTTGCGACAGTTAATGTAAAACACAGTTTACAGTTGCGACAGTTAATGTAAAACACGGTTTACAGTTGCGACAGTTAATGTAAAACACGGTTTACAGTTGCGACAGTTAATGTAAAACACGGTTTACAGTTGCGACAGTTAATGTAAAACACGGTTTACAGTTGGGACAGTTAATGTAAAACTCGGTTTACAGTTGCGACAGTTAATGTAAAACACGGTTTACAGTTGCGACAGTAAATGTAAAACAAGGTTTACAGTTGCGACAGTTAATGTAAAACACGGTTTACAGTTGCGACAGTTAATGTAAAACACGGTTTACAGTTGCGACAGTTAATGTAAAACACAGTTTACAGTTGCGACAGTTAATGTAAAACACAGTTGCGACAGTTAATGTAAAACACAGTTTACAGTTGCGTTATATGTGTAATATACAATGTGTTCAAGTTACCTTACTTTGTCAGCAAGATTATTTCTATGACGTTACAAGAAAAATCACAACATTGTAACTCAGGTGACCATTAAGGCCCTTGGTCCTGTTTTAATTTAATTGCTATGTAATTAGTTTGAAGACATTTTCTTTAGAAATATACTGATCATTAAATTTCAATTACATAAAGGAAATACCAAGTAGAATGGAAGAATATTGAAAATATTTGGATATATGCAGGGCTCTCACACCCCATTTTGGGACTGGGGCCTGGGCCCTTAGAATTGGAAAAAATAGCTGTGTTTTCCTTAGAATTTGGAAAACTTGGGGTCTAAATTGGGAAAAAAAGATACTATTTTGCATTGGGAATTCGGCCCCAAATCTGGCAGATCGAGAGCCCTGATATGTGTATACAGTGTACTGTGTTACTTCTTATTTTTAGTATTTCAAATTTTTGCAGTTTTATGAAAATTCTTGAAACATAAATTAAGAATATTTTACCGAATTCATCTAATGAACTGTAATTTTCTCTATTGATTTTATTTTCATGGTACTTTTTTGTGATTTTAATCTCTCCTCAGAAATAGTCATAATCTGAACCCCTCAAAACCTACACATTTACAGTATGTTCCTTATGTTGTCAGTATAAAAACTGTTCTTATTATTACAGGTAATCCTTGGCCACCTGTGGTCCCCAATCAAAATGAGAAGAAATTTCTCCTAACTAATATCTTACTTAAGGAACTCTTCAAAGAAAAGCAGGCAAGGGGAGAAGTGAATCCTCGTCAAAACCTTGATAGGATCATTTTTCCTGATGATTATGAGAATGAGGATATGACTGCTGGGGACGATGAAATTGATAGCGATGTAGAGCTTATTTCAACAAAATCTGAAGAACAGTTAGCTTCAACAGAATCCAGTGAAAATTTATCGGAGTTTGATGAGAAAACGACGGAATCAGATGAAGAATTAGCTTCAGTGAAATCTAGAGAACAATCTGACATAAATGTTGATAAAAAAGACAATGCTGATGATGACGAAAAATTTAAAAAGTAAGAAAATTCTTCTTAACATTTGTGTATGCTCTATGTGTAATTATGTATTGCAATTAAATAAATTCATGTTTATTGCATGATTTTCATGGTTTTGTTACATCTACGGTTGGGGCTGCAATATCCCTGCTGATAGAGTGTTGGTCTGCTTACCATCAGATAAAGATCTGAGGTTCGTAGTTTGATGTTCTCTACGTGTGGCAGTTTGAGTTTCACAGGAAGCTGAGAAATACCTGGTCTTTGCAGACATAGTTGTGTCCTTGGGCAAGAAACAACCAATTTTTTGTTGGACGACATACATGTTTCCTGTATCTTGTTGAGTGAGCTTGTTACTAGGTAGCATCTACTACAAGGAAGCCTGCATCAAAATGACTCTGGCTTGTCGAGTGAGCTTGTTACCAGGTAGCATCTACTTCAAGGACGCCTGCATGAAAATGACCCTGGCTTGTCGAGTGAGCTTGTTACCAGGTAGCATCTACTACAAGGACATCTGCCTCAAAATGACCCTGACTTGTCGATCGAGTGAGCTTGTTACTAGGTAGCATCTACTACAAGGACATCTGGCTGTTCAAGGGACAATAAACCAGATATACAAACCAACAGCATACATTTTCACAGTGAATTCCTTGGCAAAATATTGGTCTCTTTCTACCATTACGACGAGAGAGATTTTCTCTATAATTGCTTGTGGAGTAACATATTAATGACTTGATCACTACAGAATACATTTATCCTGTGTCCTCTCACCATTTACGAAGGAACCTGGGATTCATCATTACTCATTCTGACTATAGCCCACAGATATTGCTGTTAACCTGTGACAGTTGGTTGGATTCTTTCCTGAAGTATGTAGGATATCCTTGAAACGTACCATGATGTATCTTATTTCAGGGGGAGATAATTATTTTTCATTTTTGTTGTTTTATTATGTATGGAGGCACATAGTAATGACAAATAATTCAGTGAAGTGAAATTCATTTAAAAAAAAAAAAAAAAAAAAAACAATTTGAAGGACCTTCACTTTACCATGAGGGGGTTCTTTTCATCATATTGATGAAACTAACTGCGATTCACTTTACCATTATGGTATTTTGACCCGGGTTCATTTCACCATGCTTCACAATGCTGTACAAGGACAAATGTTTTCTTAGATTTAGGTCAAATTTAAAAAAGTAGGTCAAAGTGGCTTAACTTTTGCAAACTAATCACCATTTCAGTAAATTAAGAGATGCACAAATTCAATGTGATTAAAATCTCACTTTAGTTTATAAAATCAGAGATATCACTTTAATTTTATTGATACAAGTTTTATGATATAGATCCATACTCTACCAGACCATGAACTACACTGTGACAGGAGAGAGATGGAGGATATTGCCACCAAATTCAATATCAGAATACGTTAAACTATAACAAATATATAACAAAGCTCTTTTAATTTTGAATAGGTAATCCAATTTTATTTTGACTATGCAGTATGCTATATATATAATATGTAATTAGATTAATTATGGTGCTAAGCTTGATATGTTGATGTTTTAGACATGTTTTCATCACTTAGAAGAAGAAAGCAGAAGAAAAAAAGAAAAAAGAAAAAAAGAAAAGAAAAAAAAAACAAAAACACAAACACAGAAAACAAACTCTGGAAAAAATCAAATCAAATTGATGAAATGTTAAATAGATATATATATAGTGTAATTATCAAACTAAAGCACAGTTTTTATTGATGAGGGGACATGAAGGTCAGATCCCATTTAGACAATCCTTGTTTGGAAGATGCATTTCTTCAATAATCAACTATTATTTTGTTAAGAATTTATGTAGCAATTGATTGGGCAACCATATCAGTCAGTGAACCAATCAATCGATTTGATTTCAAAATTTGCAATATTTTTGAAGTAAAGATATATAATACCATGCATTGTTAAACATAATTCACACAATTAATGGGAATCCATACACATATATAAATGTCAGTAAAGAATAGAGGGTTAACCAGTCTGTTATTTCCTTTTGTTGATAAATGTTCTTAGAATTTTAAAATGAAAATAGAAGCAGTGCCAAATGCGTGATAACGATCACGTCCGCTATTGGGAGTGGGAGTCCAGCACTGGAAGGTGTGGTAATCACAGTCTCGGTAGTCGTCGAGGCATCAGATTTCTTTAATTAAAAACAAAAGAATAAATAAGCATTTCATGACATTGTAATTTTCTCGAAATTTGAGTCAAAGAAGTGCCTTTTCAGTTAATATTTTTTCACGTTTTCTCAACAACGGCATTTCATATAGTTACTGACACCGATGGTAGTTAGTCCATTGCTTCCTGAGCTGGATGAGTAATATAAGTTAAAATTGCAAGTCGATACATCCTCGATACTTCAATGGTTATGGTAACTTTCGCTATTTGTACCCATGGAACATGTCATTGCAAAATTGAAGGCTACCTGGGCGACAATCAAGTGGGAAAAAAGGAAAGACTAGTTTGATCCTTTGTTGTAAATCAAACAAATCTTGAGGTCGCATAACGATATATAATGTAATGAATTGATAATTGATGTTGGGTGTCCCTTGTAATCGTCAAAATGAGCGTACCAGCATGTGATTGGTCAGTTTTTTTCATTCCTGGAACCAATCAAATTAGTTTACTTGTGCCTTCAATTTTGATATGACATGTTCCAGGAGTGCAGCGAGTGAAAGTGATTGTAACCCCTGGAGTATCGAGATTGCTATCGTTATAGAGTAGAAGTAAGCTAAGTAATGAGCTAAAAAAAAGCTTGTCGGGTACATTCCCTAAACAGACGAATAATCTGCAAAATAAACTAACGATATGGAAAGAGGACCATTTTACATTCGAATAACTTAGTAGATATTAGTGGTTTTGTGGCAACGCTTATTGTAATAACAACGCTTAATGTAATAACATTTAATGTAATAATTATTATAATATTCATAACGACTGCTACGCTTATTGTAATACAAATCAAAATCATTACTATAAACGTAGCAGTCGCGAACGGTTATTGTAATAATCATTACATTAAGCGTTGTTTTCACCAGAAGAGTTGCAACAGTGACAGTTTTTACAGTTACTATTAGGCATGTGCCACACAAAGAAATATCACAACATATTTGGAATGTCGAACATTAAAGAATAAAAAATGCCATTTATTTCTTCTACTTCGTAATATCATGTAATTATTATCAAAATATTTTCATACAGAACGATGCCATTACATGGACGATAGTTGAAAATACTTACTTCGTCGTACTGTGGAATTCCGTTCACATACAGGGTTGGAGTTTCCAAGTCCTTTCCGTTAAACCTGAATTTCCTGGACTGAACTGTTTTAGCAAGTGGAATAACTGTTGTGTCCACAGCCTCTTGTCTAACGAATTAGACTTTCGATGATGTGTGTAAAGTATCAATTAATTTTTGTGGGTCATTACCGTTATAGTGTCTGACATACCTTCCATATCCATTCTAGCATTACGGTCGAAGGTGACACACACCAGATGACTTCCTCCAATCCCCAAAAGTGTCGCTGCCTTATCCCAGGAAAAGTGGCTGGCAGCAGATGTCATAACTACCGGTTCGTTTCTCAAGTCGTGCAGTCGGAAGAACTCGACAAATCCTTTGTAAGCCATACCGTACATTAAATAAAGTTCGAATATTAAATTCGTTGTAAAAAGGAGATAATTACAAATCAATATCGATAAAAATACTTCAACATAACGATAGCAAGACCAGCCATGTGTTGTTACTGTCTCCAGGTTTTATGACATTGGGAGATGCGAGACCACAATTGACCTACAACAGGCGCTACCCCACCGCGATACACATATGATTTATCGTAGAAAAGAAAAGTCCTTACTTGTTTATATCACCCTGAAAATAAGTGTGGTCTTGCTTGTCATTCCTTCAATATCCTGTGATAAAGCTATGACGTCAACAAGGTTAAGGTTCAGAAGGTCCCATGTAGAGTAGGATATCAATTTCTGTTTTCTATCCAATCTGGGAATATACACCCTTAGATTATTTACATCTGCTAAAGTTGGTTCTTCCCGAATAGCTTTTTGGACTGCCAAAGGGAAGAACTTTACATTTCTGGATGCCCATAAAGCTTCGATATTGGCCGATGATCCACCACTTGTGATGTATCCTCTTGGACACTGTGACACGTCAAAGCCAATCAAGTCACACAATTGTTTCCCAACCTCCTTTTCCAGTTGTATTGTCACTGGACCACTCTCTCCGCACGCATTGTTTGCATTCGTCATCCAGGCAGACAGAAATCCTAATTTGGCTGGTATCGATGGCCCCAGTTTCACAAATCTTCCTTAAGGAATTTTCCTTAGCTTATCATGCATGGCTCATCGAAAAACATTTCATACTGTAAGTTAAGGAATGGAGCTTCTTTAATTGTAAGTTTTTCCTTAACTTATGTAAATGGGTATGTAATTTAGGAGTTAAGATTTCTAAAAGTTAAGGAAGATTTGTGAATCTGGGGCCTGAATGTAACAAAATAACATTTAATGTGAAATAAATTTAAAGTGTATTTTACCAAAAGGATTATGAGTTGCAAAATGTAACAAAATTTACCTACAAAATATAGTTAAAATGAAACTTCTGCAACTTATTTATCTCTGGTTAAAAATAAACAGAGAACAGTTCAAAATATTTTGGAATATTGTGTGTGTATAGATAGAGGAACACTCCTAAAGCACATTTTAAAAAGTCAAATGATAAACTTCAGGTGTTTGTAATTTTAATCAGTGCAGTTGGCTAGTCCTATCTACTTGACGTCGTATACTGAAACTGTAGGCCTATAATAAGTTAATAGCTGATCGAACAATTACACATATTGGATTCTTCAATTATCTGCAAAGTTATGCACATGTGCAATAAAATATAATATTAAAAGCTATATTTACCAGCAGTTATCAGTAGGTCTGATCTATCTAGCTGCGAGTCAGGGAATGAATTGTGACCTTGACCGATTGGTGTCGTAGCACTGGCTATTTCATTGTTATAAAAACACAACATGGCATGTATAATATTCTTGTGTGTTCTGCCGCTGAT